TTTGACATGTACAGCACACGTGGTGTATTTTGAGGGGTAACAGCATGTAACCAGCTGTTACCACATATAGGAATGTGTACAGATTCATGCTGAAGCATATAAAACACATGACCAGCACAAACTCACACAAACAGTGGTTTGCTTGCTTGCTCTGGACCAAGCATGCTCTTGTGTATTGTGGTTGTGAATGTTCAGTAATGAGGCTGTCGTAAGAGCAACACTCAGCATTTTAAGTGTTTTTTATCCTTTCCAAAACCACAAGAGCCAAAGTGTAAGGAATGAATTTTACAATGTGTTGATCTGGTTTAACGCTGTAAATGGTAGTGCAGCTAACTTGCTTTCTACAGGAGTAACCAAGGGTTACTTTCAAGGCCTTAAGGAACACATTAATTACGAGCTAGGCTATATTTGTCAGCTTATGCTTTGTGTTAAAAGATGGTAACACCACCAGCACATATACTGTGTTATATTCCCCCCACTTTGAGAAGAAGCTGCCAGTGTTGCCAACTCCTCAGTAAGGAAATGAGCTATTGGCTGTCCTAAAAGTCACTAGAAGTCGCTAAATGACATCATCACCTAATTTGCATAATTGGCAATTTGCCTGATGTTAACCGCATTTAATGGTAGCTGTAGGAGAGAGGAATAACGTCACGGGAGAGACAAAAAGTGAGTAAAAAAAACAACCTAAATTTAATAAATTAAAATGTTTTAATGTATTTTTGGTGAGAGTGAGTGAAGAAACATTTACATTTACACCCCGCTACAGAGCGGTATTATTTAATAATTTGACCCGCTCCATCTCGCCCCGCACAACCGCATCTATTTTCACAACCCGCCCCACCCCGCCCCGCCGCTATTAAATACACGTTAAATATGTCATTAAATAAGGCTTTTATTTGGTCTTACAAATGTGCTTGAAAACAGCCTTTCGAGTGCCACTGGAAACTGGCAACAACAAATTCAAATCTTAATAAAAATAAATATATATATAGGCGCTTTTGTGTCGTCAGGTCGCAGGTGGATTTACCCAACAGTGTTGTTAAGAAGTAGGCTGTATTGGACATATTTAATCCTTAATGACCCGCTCCACCCGCCCCGCCAATAAAGTTAACATTTCTTGACCCGACCCAACCCGTAACCCGCGGGTCTCGTGGGTTACCCGCGGGTTATGGGTCGGCCCGCACATCACTAGTGTGTGTCTCCTCTCTGACTGCAGGCTGGGACTGCTGCGCGGGGCTACTGTGAGGCTGACCACCTGTGAGTGCTTTTAGACAGGGGAGGGGCTCACGGCAGCACCCGCTGCTCGTTGGGCACAGTAACTGCAGAGTGATACGTGCTTTCACGTCAGAGTCTCCAAACACCACAAAAGTCTTCAATAACACCAGAAAAAGTCGCTAGATTTGTCGCTAGTAGCTTTTGACAAAAAAAGTCGCCAGGAGGATTTGGAAAGTCGCCAGATTTAGAGAGAAAGTCGCCAAGTTGGCAACACTGAAGCTAATGTTAGCGTTACTGTGACTGCTATTTTTTATTATTAGTCATTTAGCACAATATAGTAAAGTGCATATTAAGACATATTTTACAGGGTTCTCATTTTAAAATAAGTCAGCTGGGAACATGGCATATTCAACCAATTCATGCAGCTAATGTTAGCATTTCAGTCTGAAATCAAGGACCCATTGATTCTAAAATTTTGAGTGGAAAGATTATGGAAAGAAGAAGTTATTTTTCAAACTTTTTTGTATTAATCCTTGACATTTTTTTCATGAATATGCATGTATTCCCTTCATGTTTGACGAGGTATATGTATTTGTTTAAGATGTCAAATCAAATTAAAAAAGTGGCAAATTGGCTATCGTTCTTATTTAACCGCATATGTCTAAGGCTCAGGTGTAACACTAAATGGGGCAATTGGTTTATTCAATTAAGAGAAGATGTTAAGTGAGTCTCGCACAACACCTTGGTGGTTTTAATGACTCACTATAAAACACCACTTTTACTTCTCCGTGAATGTACATTTACACCAGATAATTCTCAAGTATCTCTGTTATTGAGACCATATGTGCCGAATCGACTAAGCATATGTTTTGAAACTGTATACCCATATATCTGATGATTATTTGTAAAAACAACTGACAGTGTGTAGGCTAGTGCAGTAATCATCATGGAATAGCACCATCTGAACTTTAATAAATCTCAGCTGCAGCATTCAGAGGGTATAGGGTATACATGCAGTATTTGTGCCAAAGCAAAAATTAATGGGACCCACATTCTCAGCTGAGTAATTACTGTCTTTTTAGAAATGTTACCCCGGTGGAAAAAATAAACTGAAGGCCACATTAAAGCACAGATGGGTGATATTTGCATGCTGATAATTACAGACTATCAGATTTGTGCTGAATGGCACTATCTCCCTCTTGTTCCACTGGAACGGTAAATATCAACCACTTCTTTTATCATTCACAATGAGTGTTCATCAAAGATGGTTTCTATTATCCTCTTTACACAAAGGTTTATAATTTAGAAGATGAAGTTTTATTCACAATGGTACAACAGTAAATATGAACTGGAATACTAATGTCCTGTTTTTCTCCAGACTGTCAGTAATTTTAGGGTGATATTGGACTGTCCAACCATTAGTTGAATTGTGGGAGTTTGCACAAAAGCCACCTGCTGCTGTCAGAGATCTTTCATCATGTGTCACAAAGATCTCCCTTCTTTGTGTCGATTTCACTGGTGTCTTTCGGTTGATATAAGATTTGTACCAGGCAGCTTTCCCGAGAAAATAAGCATGCAGACATGGCAGGATTTAACAACTGAAGATGAGAAACGCAGACAACAATCAGAGATGACACTATGTTTCTTATCACGGTGATGCTGAAACATTCATTATGAAAGCCTTCAGCCGTGATACACAATATCGCCATCACTCCAGTGCGAGAAAGGTGAAACCTAATCCGATTGGAGAGATTACACAAACCTACTTTTATCCCCATCAGTCTTGTCACTAGAATTGTCAGTCGACAGGCCCTTGTCGTTTCCAGCATCTCTGATTTATCTGTGGCCTTTCATGACGCCCTCCTGTTTGAAGCCAGAGGACAAGGTCGCCTGAGGAGCGAGGTGTTTGCAGTCTGTGTGTTGTGGGCTCAGGAGGCACAAAGCTTCTAAGGGCTGTGCTCACCCTGTGGGGTTACGTGGAATACTGAAGATATGGGGTCCCACAGCTGTCAAAACTAGTGTGTCGTGAAACTAAGAGAAAAAAAATAATCCTCACTGTGCCTGTCAGAGAAATTACCCTGACCTAGACCTTCTGCATGTACATGATGTCTGTCTTGTTAACTCGCTAGTCAAACACAGCAGTGGAAAAACGAAACTGCACTTGAATTGGAGAACTCTCAGTAGAATTGTCTGATATTTTTTTAGACCTTCTGAATGTAGCTTTATATTAGAAATGAATGACTTAGATGTCATCTACTGCAAGTGTTACATTTCTTCATTGTGGAAGTTAATTAAGAATCAAAACAGTAATAATTAGATATGAAATGTAATTTGGTCAGTAATGTGCCTTAGCTCTTTCTGTCTTACCAGTAGTCCATGTAAAGGGATTCTTCACCTTTTCATCATCTAATAGTAATAGATTACAGAAAGCTTTGTGATGAAAAGCCTTGGGAACCTCTTTGGTTAAGTAAAGCATAAACTAATTAAAGTCCTAGGGTGTCTCCATAGTTCAGTTAATTTGGTCTGGACCAAAAAAAAAAAAGATATTGATCTTTTAAATTTTATGCATTAATTGACATGTAGTTCAAGTTATGAGACACAATTAGAAGACAAACTGACCAGTCAAAAAATAAATACCCAAATCTATATACATCCGAGCAAGCTGTAAGCAACGTTACTATAAAATGCTATTGAAAGAAGGCGTGCTGTATAATTACTATAATGGATATTTACATAGCATCAATATTTATTTGCAAGCTGACAGAAGTTTACTAGCCTTTTCTTTGCCTTTGCTCGCCTTTCCAGATCAATGTGCCTTCAAAGGTGTGTCTGAAGGCCTCTTCAAAGGCCTCCTTCAGATGATTCTTTCACATAATACGACTTTCATATATTTAATATAACGTGAAAATTGACCACAGGCCACAAAGGCCTAAAACACTCCATGAGAGAGTCTGTAGTTTTGTAATCTCTTTGAATGGGAGCTTGCACATACAGACTTTCCCACAGAGCTCAGTGGTATTACGTGCTTTATCATGTTTTCCTCTTTTTTTCTGTTCATTTCAACTCAGGTACCTTCCAAAAATATGCACAGGGAAACTTAAGAATTTGTTTTAAACAAATAAATCCTATTTTATTACATTCTCCTTACTAAACTCAAAAAGATGGTACACCGTACTTGAAAGCAGAATAATGCAGCACCTCAGGGTTAGCACCGAGATACATTTTGGATCATTATTTTGTCTGCAATTGGTCTAAGTTCACTTGCCACTTTCTTCTCATTGTATCATGTCGGCCTGATCTCTGCAGCTGTGTAATCATTTCAGCAGTACAGCAGTAAATGTCAAAGACAAGAGCAGGCATGTCAGTGGGCGACATGTTGCCTTGACTTCATACAACAGGAACTTCAATCAGATGGAGTTGCAGTTGAGATGAAGCCATATTCACATCTGTCCTAATATGCATATTGTGACCTGGCTGAATCCTGTGTTATAGATGGTTGTTAGCACCGAGCTGAGGAAAACAGAATTTAGGATAGCTGAGCAAGTGCTATCCCAACATTTTGTTACTTTACAAAATATACCTATATTTGTCCAGTGTCTAGTGCATATTGGTGAATGGCCAGAGATAAGTTCACATTAAGTTCACATTAAATTTCATGAAAATCTATCAACAGTTGTCAAGACAAAAAATCCAGAAATGTCAACTTCATGGTGGTGCTAGAGGAAAGGTCAGGAAATCACCAAAGTTAGCTACATTTAGCACAATAAGAAAACTCTGTAAATCACCTACTGCTGTTGCCAAAATGGCCTCCGTCTGTGTCAGAGGCTGTGTTTGGTCCCGGTCCAGCGGTGTTCACTGGGAGGCTGCTGAGCCCCGTTCTGTTGCATGTTAATCCCAGCTACAGCAGCAGTTGGCTGAGTTGAGACAGAGCTGCTGCAGGACATCAGAGGGAAAAACAGAAATAAATATTAATAGATATTACTGGTTACACGTGTTTTGTTTTATGATGGAGATGTAATCGGAAAGGGTTAAACAGGCATTTTCATTTTCATCTCAGCTTTAGGTCTTAATTAAAGGTGACTGTAGTCTGAGAGGAGTCAAGGAGATCACACCCCATGTTGTGACACACATACTAATTTGGGTTGATGAAGGTCGCCAAATGTAAACATTGAATAAACAATTGAATGATTGTTGGCTTTTTCTCTGACTTTATATTTTAACTGACCAAGACTGCCAATAGCAACCACAACACATCAGTGACAAATCGGTTCAACTAAGGTCAATCACACTTTAGACTTCATGCTAAGTGAAAAGGGTAAGAGCAGGAGTTCATGTTAACTGACGTCTCTCCATAGTGAACTCATAGTGAACTTTCAGCTAATTGGCCAGCCACTTAACTGATGGAGTCTGGGGATTAGTACTCGAGATGACCTTTCCACTGTTCAAGTAGTTAGTTCAGTTCTTGTAACGTACCTATTGAGTTCAATTTTGTTGATAGTCGATTTACCTATTGTAGAAAGTCAACAAAATCATTACTTATGACCATACATTTCATTTGATTTATTATTTTATTTGTACTATAAGCTTCACCTTGGACAGGACACCATTGCAGTGCATAGTCAGAAAAACTACTAAAGATTTGCAATGTCACATACTCTAAAGAAGCCTTCATAAACTTTCAAAAACTCTCAGCCAGATAATTCTGGCCTAGGATCGATCTAAGAATACTACTAAATTGTGACTGCACAATTGGAAACTAATTCGACCAGCAAATCTAAGTGCATTCTTAAAGTACATTTCCCTTCCAGTCTTGGTATAAGTTTCATTGGTGTGACGGAAACCTTTCTTGATGAGGTTCTTATTGATTAAGGGTGGCCATCACCACTCTGGGCTCCATCTTAAACCAGGCCCCTGCAGATTTATGTGCTTTTCACAGAGGTTTATCTTTGCCTTAATGCCTCTTTGTTCAGCACTGTATTGGTGTTTCTGTCACGTTGTTAAAATCTATGGTGCAATATCGCTCCCTTGGAATGGGCTCATCGAAGTGTCAGGCCTTGTAGATCTATGGCCCAATATGGCAGGGAGAGGAAAAAGGGAGAAAGAAGGAGCGGTTAACTCACGAGCCTATATCTTTATTCTGATTGATGGTGTTCAATGTCCCTTTACAAAACAGGCAAAAAAGATAACACAAACAGCAGACATTGTGTTAAATATAATCCTGACATGCTCGATAAAGCAGTTCCACAATTTTTTTATGTCTGTGATGAGTGTTTCCATTTTCCTTTGGCCTGGACAATTTCCTCTGACATCTAGGCTCATCCATAGCTCATGATTGCATGTGAAATACTCAGAGAAGTGATTGATACGTGGATGGCGTCTGCAGTGTTTTTATCTTTTCTATGTAAATCCTTTCAGCTGCTGCATTCAGAAATGAGCCAGCTGTTCTAACCTGCTAACCGTTTTGGTCAAGTTTCTGAGTAAGCTACTCTCACTGATTGAAACACATTCTCTGTGATTATGGCAATTATTGAACCACTCTTGCTTTGCAGTTATACTTCCTCCAGCTGGCCCATTTGGTGACATTCCATGTAGCTCTGGAATTGCAAAAAGGTGCCTGTACTGAAAATGTCTGCTTCCAAATGTATTATTTTGTGAAATTGTTATCTCTGACAACTGTTAGATCTGACATTAAACACTAATTATTCAGTATTACAAAAGCTCTGACTTTTTCATGTTGTCTTTCAAAGTAATATTTGAAAGAAGACATGACTATTTACAGACAAAAAATTAGAACCTCAATAAGTACAGCAGAAAACATTAAAAGAAAATTAGCTATCCGCTAGAGTAAATACCAGTGTCAGCCAGTACTAGTATTCCCTCCTTAAACTACTCTGCAACTGTTACCACTGAGAAAAGTTTTTACATTACTGTTAACTAATGCTAGGTAATTAATTCTTAATTAGGTGCTGAGTGGCAGATAATCAATAACTAATTATTACTTCCTTATTTATGTATACATATTAGTTACTATCTTTGTGTCTTAAGAGCATCATCATCACAAGTAGCTACTGAGTTCTTTACGATGTATTAAAGAACCAGCGTGTAGGATTTGGTGGCATCTAGAGGTGAAGGTGCAGATTGCAACTAACTGCACAGTGATTGCGTATGTATAACGGGTAACTACGGTGGCTGCGAAACTCAAACTCAAAAGGAGAGTGTTTGGTTTGTCCACTCTGTGCTCCTGTAGAAAAATGGCGGACTCCGTGGAAGGCGACCTGCTTCATCTGTAGATAAAAACAGCTCATTCTCTGGTAATGAAAACACAACATTCCTATATTCAGGTAATTATACAGGAATGTAAACATACCATATCATACAATGTAGATAATCCTAAATGTTACACACTGAACCTTTAAGTAAGTGGTATTTATTAATTAGCAGTGAATTCTACTCCTCAATACAATTGATTTGGTTGTTTCAAAGGACTTTGTGTAGCTTATTGTAGTGTAAGTGATTACAATTTGGAATTCAGGGTTTACATTATGCAGAATATGTAATGTCTGGGTGTGCAGACTTTGCAGTTGTAACAAGGCACCTTTGACTAATCTGTACTGAGTACGCTTATCAAAAGTAAGGTCATAGGTAATAGCTAATACATTTGTTTAACTGTTGACTAATTTGTAAAGTAATGTAAGAGCAGGTAAGGAAAGTAATGCAATACCTTTTCAATAGTAATATACTATTAGTAATAGTATAATAATGATTAAGTGAGTACATCTTTAAAAGAACTTGCCCAACATTGTTAATTACATTTTAAATACAAATGCTTGAATTTACTTACACAAAAACGAAACCAGCTGTGGAAGAGTCTTTGTAATCTGCCAAAGTTAACCTTGCATCGCCAGATCCTTTTTCCTCTCCCTGGCACCCATAACAGCTCAAATTGCCCAGAGGAATGCTTATTTTCAGGCATCAGAGCGCAGGCCAGACAATGTCTGTCCTTTTCAAAGGGTATCAGGGATTGGCAGGGCCATGATCTCCTCTACTTGCAGGTCTTTTGTGATTCCCTGGAGGGGCTGAGGCCAGGCGAGCTCCCTGGCGCCATTCTGCTCTTTCACCCAGTCAGCCTTCATTAGCCTCCAGTGAAACATTCGCTGTGCTGGAGATCCAGAATTCTTGACGGACCGATTCAAAGCAGTAACACCACAATAATCTACAAAAAACCCTGAGTAGTTTACATCTATTCGTTTTAATCTATTGATTATAGAGTTGTAAACTGCTAATTAATGGACATCTACTACTTGCTAATGAATATCACTCAGCTACTCGCGAGGTAAGCATAATGCTGTTTTACTTGGATGGGACACAAAAATAGTAACCAATCTGTAACATAGGTATAATAATTGGTTATTGATTATCTGCCAACTAGAAACTTATTCAGAACTTAATGATTCATTGAGAAGCTGGCCAGTACAGTATTTTCCACTGACATGTACTGTAGGAAGTACTGCAATAATTACTAATAATTAGTCTTTTATTCATACCAAGATGAGGTCTTTTGGAATAATGGCAGCAAAGAAAATGTATTTTATCAAATTAACATAAACGTACCACCTACACCTTAACAGTGGTGTTCAGAAATTACATTTCAGAAATAAATATATGTCACGTTAAAGGCTCAGTGCCTGATTCATATAACTCATGGTACCCTGATTCCAAGTATAACTAACAGTGACAGCTGTTTAGAGAAACGGATGAATTATCATATGTTGGAGTGGTGCTCGTGGCCTGAGGCCATCATTTCAGACTTTCATACTGTAGCTGAATTGTGAGAAACTAGACTGTAGGGAATGGGGATGTTTGTTTGCATGTAGTGGGTATAGTTAGAGTATGTTTATGCCCATGATAGATATATTGTAAGGGATTTTTGTTACTTCTAATATGTTAACAACAAAAGTACATTTAAATAAATTAGCCAAGATCTTGAGCGCTCTAGGTACATGTAATTGCCTGTCCTTGACACCAGTCAGCCCAGCATCCAGAATTACATTCATAGTGGCCACATCCCACACCTTGCAATTTGCATCCAATTCCAACATTAATTCCTTTATGTAGTGAGGTGGAACGTGAGGGTGCGGAGGTTGGGCTGTGCAGCAAATGTGAAACTGCAGTTTCTATCCTATCACAGACATACAATTAATGTTTGCTTTTTGAGTTGCTTAACCTTAACCATATTTACCACAGCCACGGTATTTCCCTAATCTGAACCATACAGATATTGTATAAAACAATTATTTCTTTAAAATGTCACTGAACATAATTTTTGGGTTTTGTATAATATTAACTCTTGTTCTTTAGCAATAGGGTTGCACAAGCACTGTCTGCATATTTTAGACTTAATAGCTTGTCCTGTTCAGCTTACTTTCCTTTAATAAAGCACTAATTCAGTATTTGAAAATTAACGCTAATGAGAGGTAAATCAGAGAATAGGGTTGCTAGAAACGATGTAGAGTCAGTTGTAAGACAGAAACACAACATAGTCTGTTGCTTCACATAAGCACACTAGAGCACGACTAATTTTAACCCATCCCTATCTGCTTTCTTTCATGACTTCTAATGTTGATTGGAATTGAACATTTAGCCCTAAAGACAACATCTTTCAGTTATCTTTCCGTCTTGTCCTTATCTCTGATGACTGTAATTCAAAAAACACACTCATGGAGCATTACAATTATTCTATAAGGCGTTGTGTGCCTAAGGTGGGATGTTTGGATCAATACCAGTCAATGCAATGCGTAGTTTGTGCAACTTCAGCACACAGGCAGATGATCGGTCACACTGATAGGAGAGGACCTCTGAACCTTGGATTCAACCTGTGCTAGCCAAGTCAGGCACTGAAACTGAGCCCTGTGATGTTATCAGGTGGACCTCAGCCGTGGAGCACACACTCACAACAACATTTTGAATTTCTATCAGTGGTAGCAGGTAGCAGGTCAGACTGTATG